GTAATTTGAGTATATCATTATTATTATTTTATAGTCATCATTGGGTGCTTGTTGTGATTGACACCAAATCCTTAATGCCATACTTACTTAATTCAGTTAATCCAACGACGATGCCTAACCCGGATATTCAAACTTTTATAAAGAGGTATTACACTTTATTATATTATATATCTTATGTTTCTTCATAAGTAAATTAATTTATGTATTAAGTATTTTTTTTAATTTAGGGTAATATCTGAATTCGATAAGAAGATAAAGAAATCGAAATAGGTGTCATTATCGGTAAATGTAAAATATATTCTTTTATGCTGAGTTTGTTTAGATAAATGTTTCCTAAACCCACTCAATTTAATTTTTAAGTACCTCGTCAACCTGATAATACTGAATATGGATATTATGTCATTCGTTTTATGCGGGAGATAGTGTTAGATGATTTTATGATCACATCATTTAAGGTTAGTATAAATTTTATAAACTTGTTATATCTTTAAAAAAATAAAAAGGTACATTATGTTCTCATTTCTTAACATTTACTTATGATATTTTTTTTAGTGGGAGAGTAAAGAAAGCTTCACGAAAGAGGAACCAGATGAAGTCCGTAAAGAATGATGTGATTATGTATTATCATTTATCAATATTGATAAACCTTGAGGTTAGACATTGTTGGTTGAATGTAAATATATAAGGAACAAATTGTTATAATGTTTTTAACATGCCATGTTAAATGGAAACTTTAAGTTTGTACATTGGGGTATTAGTTTAATATTATTGTTATACTTAATATGAATACACTATGTGTACTTAATAAATTATTGAGTACGATTATTTCATAAAAGTATATTAATATGACAACTTTATCAGTTTTAATTTTGGATGTGTGATTAATTTATTGAAATACAACAATGTTCATTATGTAAATTCCAAAATGTAATTTGTAGTATCATATATATAAACCAAATATTTTCTGGGCATAAATATACAACTGACAGCAAATATTTTTTAGGTATAAATCTACAACTGACTTGACATATACAATATCAAATATGTTTTTTATGGGATTAATAAAGGTGTTTTTAGTAAGAAAACGCATTGAATCATCCCTAACAAAAAATTTTGAAGGTATTTTTTTACAAAAATCGTCTTCAATAATCCCTCAAAAAATTTATTGTGTGGGATAATAAAGGCATTTTGGGCAAAAAATACCTTCAAGAATCCGTTTCGACTTTTTTGTATGGATTATTGAAAGCGTTTTAAAAAAGCACATTCAATAATACCAACTAAAAATTAATCGAATGGATTATGAATGGCGTTTTCCTACGAGTAACGCCTTGAATAATATCTAACAAAATATTATTAAAGGTATTTTTGAAAATACTGCCTTCAATAATCCGATCATTCAAATTTATCGTTTGGAATATTAAAAGCATTTTGAGCAAAAAATGCCTTCAAACATCAATTCCAACTTTTATCTATGGATTATTGAAGGTTTTTTTGACAAAAATCATCTTTAATAATCACAACAAAAATTTATTGATTGGATTATAGGATGCCAGTTCGACCAACAATACATTTAAGAATCGGCTCCATATTTTTCCTTTGGATTATTAAGGGTGTTTCTCTGCGAAAAACACATTTAATATTCTCTGCAAATTTTTTTAAAGCAATTGGTGAAGGCATTTTTGCCAAAAAAACACCTATAATAATCAATTCAAATAATCTCTACAAAAACTCAAAAGAAGCTCAAGAAAGGGATCGAACTTACTAACTTATGGTTAATATTTGTACGATCCAAAAATTTTGATATGATATTTATTAAAGGTATTTTTTGAACAAAAATGACTTCAATAAGTCAGTGAAATTTTTTGGTCCAATTATTAAAGGTATTTCTTGTATAAAATGCCATCAATAATCTCATACAACTTTTTATGAGGTGATTATTGAAGGTGTTATTTGTCAAAAACACACACCTTCAATAATTTCTTATCAATTTTTTAACTGGATTATTCAAAAAAATTTCTGTCAAAAATATTTTTAATATTTACTAAAATTTTTAAGTCATGATTATTCAATGCATTTTAGATGAGAAACATCACTAATATAAAATTTTGAGTAACATTTATAAATAATAACACCATTAATTAAATATTTAATGACGTTTGATAATAAACCTCTTAAATTTTATAAAAACACAAAAACTAACCAAGTTTATAAATGAAAAATTGCTACAAAATTATCGTTAATAGGCTAATTTCTTTTTGTAGCGAGTACTTGTTATCTTTTCTTCTAGCGTGCATCGGAAGTTGGAACATTGAAGGAAACCAACAAAGGAACAAGACAAACTTGAGTTTCATGAGTGGTTGTGCATGATATTTACGTCACACAATAGTAACGTGCATAAAGTAGTGGACTCCGACTATAATTTTTAAGTAGTTAGTAGTAATCAATGTTCGTATGTGTTGGACATTTTCCTGGTCAAAAATGGCGGCTTATAATGGGGACCAACGCGTAATAACAAGGTAATTCTTTAAAAGATCTACAAATGGATTTTAATAGAAGGACCATAAATATACATGAACTTTCCTAGAAGCTTGCATTTCTGCCTCGTGCGTGGCTCTTTCCAATGATTAATTTATCTTTGTATTTTTTTAACTCTCTCGTTTCAACCAGAAAAAACCCCTTCCTTAATCTCTCTCTTTCTCTCTAATGAAATAGGTGCTCCTTTGAAGGCAATGCTTAATGCCCTGAGAGCCGCTCAACTTTGCTTTCAGCTAACGTTTTACTAGTCCTACAGTACTAACCGGCCGCCTCAACAAATTGAAGGACATTTTTGCTCAAGATCCGGCACGTAGAAGAAAAAACAACTCTCGACAAGTGATCTTCTTCAACATATATGGCCGGTCAACGCGCTCAATGATATGATATGGAGGATGTGCTTGATGATTGATGAGTTCTCCATCTAAACTACGCATTGAAGATGGAGCACAGAACGTCAAGAAAGCACCAGCAAGGTATAATTGCTGTTACGTTTAAATCAGGGTTTCATGAATAGTCAAGAAGATTCCTTAATTAGTTTTGCTTATGGCTGCTGTAATTCCTAAAGCTGGTATGGCGAGAGTGGTGAAGAGGACTCTTGTTAGCTTTGTTTATGATAATGTTGAAAGTTAAGCCATCGTTTAAACTGAAAAGCTTGGGTTGTTGTTTGAGGGACTTGATGTTGTTAGGCTAATGATCGTGTGTGTGAATTGAATTTGCTTCAGTGAGACTTAAGGAAAAAAATTATGAGAAAGAAATCTTTTGTAGTCCTAGGTGATATTTGTAATGAAAACTAAAAGAATTGAATTTGATTCGCCACAGTGGTCATGGTTCCTTCGAAGTAGGTTATTTGGGAAGTAAATTCACTGTCATGACCCATAACTAATCAAGATGTGCGTCCATGATGGAGTTCTTTGGGAAGAAGGAATTTTGATGATCAGCCGTGTATGAAGGTGACTGACAAATAAAAAATATAGTGAAAGGGTGCTAGTGTTTGCCAATTGGTCATCATAATCGATGGAAAACACTATCTTTCCACTATATTATCCTTGTCAAATGCCGACTGCTTTATTTCATAGTCATATTGGACGATCATCAAAGTTGCTTCTCCCTGAAATATGTTGTATATAATATATATGGACGAACACACACACACACACACACACCCAATGCCATTTCTTTTTGAATAGTTAACAAGACTCCTGTTATTTAGGCGACGCCTTGATTATGATGACAGTAATTTAACTTCCCAAATACTGCAAAGAACCATTCAATTCTCATAGTTCTCGTTCCAAATATCATCTAAAACTATAAAAATTTCTTGCCGTAACTTCTTTACTTTTTACTCTCACTTGGAAACTCACTCATTGCCCACCACTAATATTTCATCACCCTAACAACATCAAATTCCTCAGAAACAAAAAAAAAAAAAATCAAGCTGTCAGCTCAAGGAGCTGCATGCTTAACTGTAACATTGTTGTAAACAAATATTTAGCAAGGGTTGTCTTCCCCACTCCTACCATATTGTCTTGATATTGCCGATGCTGACGATGACTGGAGGATATACTGGCTTCATCTCTAAATGGTGGTTTTTAATTCAAGTTATTTGCTTGAGATGTATCTATATATAAATAATGGCTTCATCTGTACTTCTCTTTCATTCAATAAAATCCCTTTTTTCTGTTTCTAATTTTCATGCACTTTAAAGACTTACTAACGAGTCAAAATGCCTTAGATATGCATTCTTTTCAGGTATATAATGTCAAAAGATCAGAAATTCGGAATCCTGAACGAGCATCTAACTCTTCAGTGCAGATAGGTGGAAGATGTCAGGGGGCTTCAAACTCATACAAATATGCTTCGTAAATAGTTGTACCCACCAATCATGGCCTCCCTTTGACCCCTTTATCATCTTCAAAGACAAGGAATTAGTTAAAGGGGGTTATTTGGATTGGAAATAGATTAGATTGTGTTGAAAAATTATAGTAATTGATACAAGCAATTATGGAATAATAACAATAATATATTATTATTATTATTATTATTATGACGATGCTGCAAGAGAATTGCTTTAAGCTGGATATATAATTGATGAAATTTTTTTGGGGTTACCCTATAATTAATGAATTGATGCTTCCACCAAAAAATATAAATGAGAAAAAAAATCACTTATGATTATTGTAATGTTGTTAATCAATTATAATATAATATTATATAAGATTCATAAAAATTTATATAGAATTTAAACTTTTAAGTGATAAATTTTTATATGATTTTTTTTTTTTGTGATTGCCTAATTATAAAATTATGATAAAAAAAATTATATATGAAATGCTTCAAAAAATAAAAAAGATTTTTTTTGAAGGAAAAAAAAAACAAAAATTGTTAATCTATTAAGAGGTAATTCATCACAGAAAAATTAAAAATACGGTATTTTGACCCTGAAAGAGGGAAAGGAAAAATACGCTCATACTCAAATACGGTTTACTCCAAACGGTGCGTTTGAACTTTTGACGGTCCCGTTATGATCTCACGGTGTTAAATAGAAAAAGCAAACCCGTTTTCTTTCTCTCTCCTCTTTGTCTTTGGCCTTAGCGAGGCAAAAACATAGAACCCGGCCCGTCAGGCGGTTCGTCGGCGATGAGGAAGAGAAGCGGCGTGAGATTTGGGACAAGGGTGGAGTGGCTGGAGCATGATATCCTGTGTATCATCTTCTCCTTCCTGGACGTCTTTGACCTCGTTCGCTGCACCGCCGTCTGCAAATCCTGGTACTCTCTCTCTCTGCTTTTGCAATATTTCTCTTTTTTGTAATCAGATCTACTTTATAATTGCTCTCTCTCCCTCTCTCTCTCTCTCTTCTTAATTAAGGAATGAAATCATTAAAAAGTCCAAGTTATTGCAAGTATTGTACTTGAAGCTGCGGCGAGATTGTAGTGAGTCTAGTTCTTCAGGGCAATCATGGGAATCAGGTCTAGAAGAAATAGCCTTGAAACATCATAGGCTCTCTTTACAACGAGGTCGCATTGATATCCATCAGTGGAAAGCTCATTCAGTCGGGTAACATTTGTTGAAATGCATGGCATTTACTCTTACAATTAGCTTAAAATTTCTACTTATCTTATTACAAAACATACTGGAAACCAAGGCCTTGGACCTTTCTAACCTTGCTTTCTGTTAGGATTGATCAGTGCCGGATGAAGATGGGCTTACTTCTCACTGGTGTTGGTGACAAGGTGTGCTTTTGCTGCATTTGGTTATATTGGACATAGAGAAATCATATAGTTCTGCACATGGCAAATGTGGAACATCCTCTTTGTTTTGGAACTTTACTTTCTACATGGTGAATCTGGTTTGACTGAGTTGTTTAAAATCATTACAATTCTTTACCATTTGCCCCGGGTCAATAAACAGTCGAGTGCTGGTCCAGTTTTTTCATGACTTATGATCTGCTGTATAAAACTAATATGGATGGCTTTATTTTGTACTAAATTATATCCTTCATTTTAATGAAAGCTTTTTCCTTTACCACTTAAAGCCAGTCACGCTTTTGCATGGAAATTAAACCAGGTTATGCGTCTTTGGTCATTGGACAGCTACAAATGTGTGGAAGAATATTACATTCCTGATACTTTACCCCTAGTTGACTTTGATTTCGATGAGAGCAAGGTAACTTCAATCTCCTCTTGTCATTAACTGCTTAATCTATGCCCACTCTCTCATTCTCCTCCTTTGCTCATCCCTGACCTCTCTTTTTCCCCAATCATGTCTTCCGATCAGTTCATAATTGGCCTTAAACATCAAATGTTGTTATTAAAAATGTAATCATTAGGCTTATGCTGAATAATTTCTTCCTTTTTTTTTCCCTTCCAGATTGTTGGTTTGCTTGGTACTCGTGTAGCTATATGGAGACGTAATGGGAAAAGAAGTATATTTCCCTCACGCGAAGGCACATTCTCTAAAGGCTTATGTATGCGGTATGAATAGATGCTCACATTTTGTTGATTGACTGAATCGTTAGCAAAAATATTCTTATCTAAAATGTTACACCTAAACCATATTAATCAGTTAGGTATCAAGGAAGAAGACTAAACAGCTTTCATCTATAGGTACATTGATCCGGAGGCTGTCATTGGATGTGACGATGGAACTGCTCGTGTATTTGACATGTATAGCAGGACATGTTCTCGAATTATTAAGTATGCACTGTGCTTGTTGAATGTTATTTGTTTCATTCTTTCTCTTCCATTATTGGAAGTAGTCCATTTAACGCCGCTTATTGATATCTTCATTGCAGGATGCATGCTGGCCCTGTAACATGCTTATCTCTGAGTGATGACCAGTTGATTCTCAGTGGGAGCTCTCATGGTAGTGTCTCAATATCCAGCCTCTCATCTGATCAGCGGGTAGCTACATTAAGGACAAGGTCAACTGACTTGGCAGGTTGTATAATTAAACATTTATGTACATCACTGCAGTGAACACCAATTTGGTTCTTTTTGGTATTTGGCATCTGAAACATGAATTTAATTTCTTCTTATTCTGACAGGCATAAGGACCTTGTGTTTCAACCCATGTTCTCATTTAGTGTTTGCTGGGACAACAGTTGGATATACATATTGTTGGGACCTTAGGTATGTTAGTTGAATAATAATTTCTTTTTTTTTTTTTAATTAGTTTACATTCATAGATTTGAAATATTAGAGCCAAATCAATGATTAGTTAGAAAAAAAAATCTAGAGCTATTTATATTTTATATTCAACTTTTTGATGTATTTTGCAACCATTCTTGTCTTGATATTATCCTTCCTGTTTTAAGGTACTGATGAAACTGTAGCTCTATTAGTTTAAGGAAGAAAGGGTAGGATAGCGTCTGTCTATCAATCTCTTGGTAATTGGCAATGGTGATAGTAGATTAGTCATGGAGGCTACAATAAATTAGTGGTTGAATCACCATGCTCTTTAATACTGCAGATCCATGAAATCTTTATGGGAGACACGAATAAGTTCAAATGTTCTGTATTCCTTGAATCACTTGCGGAATGATAAATCAACGTTAGCTGTTGGTGGAATAGATGGTGTGCTTCGTGTTTTAAATCAGAACACAGGCGAAGTTCTTTCAACATGTGTCATTGATGATGAGAGGCCGACAAGTTCCTCTGGAATGATTGAAAAAAAGAAAGGGATAAGGCTGTCCGAAGAGGCTCAAATTGACAAGATACCTAGAGCTGCTCGACCCCCCATCGCATGCTTGGCTGTTGGGATGAAAAAAGTTGTCACTGCACATAATAGCAAGTACATTAGAATATGGCAATTCAATGCGTAATCGAGAGGTTATTTTATTGACCTTAATTGTACATTTGTGTTAGTCGTTTATACTATATATTTTATTCCCCTCAGAATTAAGGTACACCTTCATTCCCAGCCTGCTGCTCCCCTCTTATCTGGATCTTCCTACATATAAAGCTTTCATTACCCTCTATTATCTTTGCAACTTTTTTGTTGATTGAGTTTTACCCAGACCGCATGATTTTGAACTGTGATGGAATGTTGGGCTCTTTGCTGCAGCCCAACTGGGTGCAGTAGAAATTTAGTGGTCCAAAACCAACCAGAAAGTGGGCCTCAGATTAAATAAACTGGACCCCAGCCTTTTTATTTGAGTCTGACGTGTGCATGAAAGACTAAGCCCAAGCCCAAAACCATCAAAACATAAACTAGTGGAATACGACTCCGAGCAATCAAAGCCACTCTCTCTCTCCAAATAAAAAAATAATAATAATAAAACTAAAAGATCACAAACATAAAAAACCCTAATTCCCCGAAGAAAAGAAAATCCAAGCGGAAGAAACAATGGTGTGCATACGCAAGGCAACCATAGACGACCTACTGGCGATGCAAGCTTGCAACCTGCTATGTCTTCCCGAAAACTACCAGATGAAATACTATTTGTATCACATCCTCTCTTGGCCTCAGCTCCTTTACGTGGCCGAGGACTACAATGGCCGCATTGTCGGTTACGTCCTTGCCAAGATGGAAGACGAAAGCAACGAGTGCCACGGCCACATTACCTCTCTCGCCATCCTCCGCACCCACCGCAAGCTTGGCCTCGCCACTAAGCTCATGAACGCCGCTCAAGCCGCCATGGAGCAGGTCCTACCTTTTATGTTCGGTATCTCCTTTTCTAGTGATTTTGCTCCCAATCCATGGGCCTTGAATCTTTGGAAGTTTGAATTCTCCTCATTTTGCCGATGTTATTGCTAATTAAAAAAAAAAACTTTTTAGTTGTAAATTTGATAGGGTTTGATTGTTGCTTTTGTTACATTTGATCTTTTGGATGCGTACGAAAAGAAAGCAATTTTTTTGAATAATTAAAATTTTTTTAAAAAATAATCTTTTTATAATTTTATGACAAAATTATGATTTTGCTTTTATATGGAATCTTATGTCAAAATTAGTGTTATATTTAGTAATTATTTTAGCAGTTCTTGAACTGCAAAAGTAATCAGAAAGTAAGACAAAGTGTCTACATTCTTCATTACTAATAGACAAAGTGATGCAGGTGTTTGGAGCTGAGCATGTCTCGTTACATGTTAGGAAGAGTAATAGGGCAGCGTTTAATCTGTATACCCAGACATTGGGATATAAGATTCATGATGTGGAGGCCAAATATTATGCAGATGGGGAGGATGCATATGACATGCGGAAGCAGTTGAAGGAGAAGCAGAGTCATCATTATGGTCATCATCATCACCACCACCACCACCACCGTCATAGTGATGGATGCTGTTCGTGTGAGGCAAGAAGCACAGAAGTGAGTCAAACAAGAGGGGACTCAAAATCGGAGTCGAAAGCTAGCACAAAATCTGATTCTAAAGCAGGATGATTACAGGAGGTAAACACAAGTATGGGGAGAATTGGGTGTGGCATTGGCTTATGTACTTTAGATTATAATTGGTGGCCCATGGTATTTTTAATTTGTTTATGAAAGTAATAATATGACTGAGGATTTCAAATTAATTGGCTTCCTTACGTATGATTTAGCTTGCTCCTGCAAATGTAATGGTGTCTGTACTATCTGTGTATTTTACAATGATTTTTTTCCCAATTTTGGTCAAATGTTTATTTTCAGACTTGTGTGTCAAACATTAGAATAGCTCCTTATGTTTCACTTTCTGCATTCATGGTTTATGGTATGCGTTAGTCTCTCTTGCTTGTTTCTGCTTTCTCCAGTCCCTTTTTAATCAATTTTGTTCAGATTCTTTTTCAACCAGTTTCTCTTCAATGTTTTCACTTACTCATGCAAGATATGAAGTATTGCTCATCATGAACAGGATGAAGTGTGGGTTTACTCTGTGTTATTCTTACTGTTTGGGAGCATAGTGATATTTAGCACTTGGTAATCTGCCAATGCTGTTGATTTTATGGTATGGCTGGTTCTTATACCTTCCTTGAATGTTTCTTTTTTTTTTTTTTTCTTTTTCAGGGAAAAAATCAAAGGGGAAATGGGGGTAGAGAGTGGGGGCTTACAATTAGAATAAAAAAGGGGAAAGATAGAATAAGTTTTTGCAGGACATAGAAATGGATATAACAAAGGCAAAAGTGTTTCTGATCTACTCTATTAGAGAGGAAAATTGTAGAAGTATTTGTTGTCATGATTGGAATGATGAATAATTAAACTTTTGTATTATGCCAACGTTGGTGGATGTCTTTTTGAACATTCTCGACCTCTGTAGAGGGGTTCGAATTATTTGACAATTGTTTATTGTTAGCTAAACGTAAAACCAATTACGTATTTATCTCGTGAATGCAGTTTCTATTGTCCAAAACCCTTGTGTTTTATGCCTTGCACCAACGCATAATAAAATAGTGTGGCTTTTACCATTTCTTTTGCTTTTACTAAGGTAAATTTTACTGCAAAGGTGATTCATGTTGAATATTATTTCCCTCCTGTTTGATCTATGAGCCTCATGGTCTGTGATTCAGACCAACCGCTATCCCAGAAAATACATGTGCCACATGTCCTATGAATGGGCTCTGCTAAGCAATTAGTGTGTTGATGAATTTGTGGCAATGTCTGGTAAGGTCCATTTTGGCTCTTTCGAAAGAGTTCCGTTGAAATTTGAAAGTGAAAGAAAAAAAAAAAAAAGTAGAAAGAGCCAATATTGACTGTTATAGCTCCTAACCTTGCATAATTGACATGGAATATATTTATGCTTTCCCGATTGATGACTTTTCTTTTTTTCTTTAAACTTATTTTTGAAAGAGTTTTTATCAGTTTAGGAATTGGTACAATTCATTCCGGTCCGGTAGAACATGTGCCTTGGTAAAAAACAAGATCTTTTTCTTTTCATCAGTCATTGAAGATGTATAAAGTATTTATGGAAAAGAAGAAGCATCTAAATTTTTTTTATTTCCTTCCTCATAATGTAGGGAAAGTAGAATTAAAAAAAAATACGCATAAATTCAGTTATACTACTTTTTATCAGTTTTACTCCTACAACGCATACATAATTTTATGAAACATAGTCTCCAATTCAATATGAAAATAAAAAGGCTAACCTTTTTGAACATTCCTGAGCAGGAGAGCATCAATGGAACCACCTAGGACGATAGCTTGGTTGTTAATGGGAAGCACATGGAATCTTTCAATGCTATCCCATTGAAACGTCCAATCAAACTCCATAATTCACAAGGAAAGAAGTTGAGAATGGCATGATGGATGCAGAAAAGCAACATGGATGGGACACCTACAGCTACAGGCCACCATGCCCGGAGAATAAAAAAACAAAAAAGGGTAATATTCTCTTACAGAGGTGCAACTTTTATGATCTAAACTTGGTAAGGAATTCACATTCCGTAAAAACCCCATTGGGACGAACATGGATCTTCGATCTTTATTTGATGTCGTGTTTGCATATTTTTCCACAGTTCGTACTACCGTCGGCTACAATCTAATGTTTCCAACATTGAATTTCTATGTCATTTACTTCAATCTCGATGTTGGAATATCTACCCCTTTTCTTTAGGCTTTTTAATTTATTTAGCTTATAATTGTGACTCTTTTCTACCATAGATATTTCCTTCCTTTCACTTTGAGGCTAATCTATGCAACCAAACTGCTACTTTTAACTGAGATAATAATCTTATAATATTAAAATAATTAAAGAAAGATAAGGAGGAAAGGCTTTGAATTACTATACATATCACGTAAGGAACTACTAACACAATTAAATTTAATTAAACAATGGTGGTTGAAATCATAAAGGGGAAAGTTATAAAATAATGGTAACACTTTTTAGAGTAGAGTATCCTAAAAGTATATGCAAAATATAATACAAAAAAGAGGACTAAAAGTCGCTTTGTCATTGCAGCCTTGTTGATTGGAATCTCAGTGGGCTCTCCATTATCAAAATACATCCAATAATGGTTAAACTTTCACATTCAAAAATCGTCGTCATGAGCGGTTGTAGCACCAGCTACCAATTCTACTGTTGATAAATTTACTTCCAGAGCAATTGGCCCATACTTGAGTCCTTAGACCCCCCATTGAAAGTGAGATATGCCTGCTAAATTTTGGAAGGACGGGCCCATTTTCCCACTTAATTTCTGTACATGTGCAGGAAAATTAACTGACCAAGCAGCTACCTTATAAATCGACGGGGAACACGAGGTGTAGGCACCACCACATCCCGACCAGACTTGATCAAGTTGAGACGATCCTTTATTGTTTTATCAAACAATCGGTTCTCAGGATTTTCAGCATAGCAAACGTAGTAACAGCTCACACAAGCTTGCGGCAATGCCATGGCGATCCTTGTCTGTCATGTCATTTTAATAATTCATTAGATTAATCATGGAGCTGAGTCATAGGACTTAAAAATATATATATCCAAGTTGATCACACGATCAAAATTTCTTCATTATAAAATTTTATAAAATAAGGATATTCTAATCGGCGGGTACTTACCATTAGGTATCCAACAAAGAAAGCGAGGAGGGAGGTGCTGGCTGTGAAGGGCTGGTGGACTCTAGCAGTCCAAGCAGCCACAACAATAACACAAATTGAGCCACTGCAAACTCCAGTAAGGAAGCAAATTGCGCTGGTCATGTCAGAATCTACGATGGGTTCCATTTCTTCTCTCTCGAAAAGCACCCAAGTATCTTGTGATGCCCTAACAAAACCTTTTCCATAGGCAGCTATCTAAAACAACGGTTTTTAAAAAAGTTCAATTTAGTCCTTATTTATTCATGGACCACAAGCAAAATCAGCATTCAGACGTTGATTGAACTGGAAGTAATTCAAAATGGGGAAGGATTCACACAATAAAGTAAGGAAGTTGTTGAGAAATCCATAAATGAATAATATAAAAATAAAACTTAGCAAATTCTGAATTTACTTCTTAAAAGTAAAAGATGAAGGGAGAAAAAGCAGCACAGTAATCAAACAATAAAAGCATGCGCATTTGACTGGAATTTTTCTTTATGATTCAAAATTCATCTCAACAATCGAGAACATTGAACATGATACTATTTGAACATGACTTGTCCAACTCCAAAGTAAATCAAAGTAATTTATTAAGAGAAATTTATGAGTTGTAAAGATTTTACCAGATGCAATTAAATACCTGTACATATGCCCAGCCATTTCCATGTCTGAAAATAGACTGCATAACATTGAGACAGCAATGTGCACAAGAGAACATAAATTCATCTTCTCCTTCCAGCAAATTTAAACCTCTGGCAACAATTCTTAAGGCTTCAATTGCTGGCACGAATAAAGATCCAAGACAAGCACTTCCAAGATTCCGGGTCAAGGCTCTTTGGAAGCTAACCAGAGTATTAGACTGCATTCCTCTCAGATAATACAGTGCGATCACTCTGCTAACTGTTATATTAACAACATTCCTCATAACTTCTGTTGTCCAAGCCAAGCTTAAGACCAATGCAATTATAATAAATGGTGGGACGTAGAAATTCAGTGCTCCAACCACAGCCAAAATCCATAATGACATCCACAAGAATCCAGACCCAAGCATCCAATAAGCAGGTTGGTTTAAATCAGGAAATTTGGAAACTGGTTCCAGAGATTTAAGCAATACCTTGAAACAAAAATCAATTCGCTGAGAGACCCAACAAGCATATAAACCATTACCGATTGCAAAGGCAATGAAGCAAACTCCAACACCATCTGTGGTAGGCTTTTGGAAACAAATTAGAAGAATTCCAGCCGACAAAGACATGAAGAAAGTGAACCATATGATGAAATAAACCATGAATCGAGGCCATTCTCGCAAAGCCTTTTGCCAAGCAAATGCAAGAGTAATGCTCAGAAGAGATGCAACTTCAATTTGTGGCAACAAGAATTTAAGAATCTTTTCCTCCTTTTCTTTTGCAGGATTTGACGCCTCTATTAACCCTTGAATTCCCTTGAATATAAGAAAGCACACTAATGCAACAGCCACAACCATGTGCAGCATGAATAATAACAGAGATATTTTGTTGGTGAATCTTCTTGAATTCAGTGTTGTTACTGATTGCTGGTCACAGAAAGGGAAAAACCAAAAAATAATTGAAGTTAATAACTAAAATTTTCTGCGGAAATTTAAGAAACTCTTGCTACATAGGAAGAACAAAATTTCCTTTCTCATCAATTTTCAAATTCAACAAAATATCATAATTTTTAAAGAAACTAGCCGGTAAGCTTGGAGAAGACCTGAAATTGGAAAATTATTTAATGAACTTTTAGATGTCTGTCCGTAACCCCCGAAACATATCATAAAGTCGATGATTAATACTAGCTGATATACGCTTTCACTTCAAATTTTATTACTGAAATTTTAATAATTCTTTTTCCTAAAAAAATAAAATGAAAACTGCTTCTTCTGGGCTTCAAATTAAGGAACCTCCTCAGAAAACCAAAGACTAGAATAGACAGAGAAGGTAAGCTGCCAAATTTCGATTCTTTCTGAGGACTTACTTGTGGGGTTGGTGTAGAACGAGGCTGAGAACGAGGATGAGGGGGAGGGGGAGGCTGAAAACGAGACGATTGAGAAGGAGAAGAAGTAGCAACTCTAGTGCCACCATTGATGACAATCCTCAAAGGGTTCGTCGGGTTCAATCTTTGCATCATTGACACATGAAAATGGTCTCTTTGATCTTCAATTCTCTCTAACGCCTTCTCTTCAACAACAGCTTCCCCGACTCCTTTTTCCAAGTCTAATTTCTCTTCTTCTCCTTCTCTCTCCTGGTCTGCCTCCTCTACCTCTTCTTTCTCCTCCTCATCCTCTTTCTCTTCTTCTCTCCTTTCTTCTTCACTCTCTCCCACCACCTGCAACAAAAACCAAGGTAACAAAATCTTCAAACTTCAAGTGACTTATAATCAAGTCTAGCAACCAAAACAACAAAACAAAAAGAAATCGATCCCCAGAAGAAAACAAAAACGAAAACCTTAAAAAAAAAGTATAGAAGTAAAAGAAAATAATTATCTAAGGAGTCAAGAGTTTACATGTTCAGTGGCACCCATGGCGGCGGTGATGAAGTCAAATTCCGGTGGAGGCGGTGAAGGTCGGTTGTCGGTGAAAGGTGAAGTGCTGTCTATGTGGTTGGATTTGGTATGTTAGCAGTATACCGTAATGTTCTTTCGGTTGGTGATGTTAATGTGATTGGCTCGTTTCACTGTTAAAAGGTTTTTCAGAATATTGCGGCCATTGTTGTTATTACCACATGCATCAAAAGAGGTGGGGCCCTCTTTTTAATAATGCCAACGCTCTATACTAGCGCGTAAGAAGCACCGAATGCTGGAATTGACGGGTGTCATTTGTTGACAGGTAAATGCTAGAAGTGAAAAAAAAAACTACCGCCGGCATCGCTGTAAGTAATAAGTAATTTTTGAATAATTTTATAAAGACTGAATATTTACATTCATAATTATTCTTAAAAAAATAAAACATTAAACTGAGAAAACCGAGTAAGCAAAACTGCATCCTTCACAGTTGAGCAAAAGAATTATTTATGAAAATTAGTTAATTAGTTAATTTATATTATATAAAATATTAATAATTTTATATTTTTGTTACATTTTATATAAAAATTATATATTTAATTTGAATTTATATAAAATATATATTTTTTATTTTATTAAATTTATATAATTTTTATTAAAATTTTAAATTATATTATTTTTATTTCATATTAATTATTATCTTACATTATTAAATCATATTTTAAAGCGTAAAATATAATTATAAAATATAATTAATCAATAAAAATCTAAAAAAAATTTTCCAAACAAAAAATTTGCAGATGAAAAGACGGGAAAAAAAAAGGGGGAACTAGAAATTCATATAATTGTCAGCCTCATCACAATACGGGAAAAGAAAGATATAGTATTATTAGTCCCGACAAAATGTAGACATGTGGCAGGAAAAATACAAGAAAAGTTGCGGATTTCAAAGGGTATATTGTCCTTAGTTCGCTGGCCGTTTAAGGAACTGCAATCTCATGTCATTGGTGCTCTTAAAGATGGCATTCACAAGATAATTCCGTCCCTGGATGGTAGCAAATTTACTTGTACAGTAAATGACAAAAGTTAATTGGAAATTTTGTATAACTCATGAAAATTTATAATAAATTAGGTCTAAAGCTTCTTCAACTAGTTTTGCTAGAAGGCAGATGAAACTAGTTCCGTTCTTAATTTCTTTTTACATTTCAGTCACATTGTTGGAGGGATTTGGGTTGATTTGCTTATTCATGATGCTGGACTGGATCACTTGAATCATCCAAAGCAATGATTGTGGACCATGGGCAATCAAATCCTGGAATCTAACCAATAAATATTCCTTCAGGGGTAGGTCTAGTGATATTAAATTGTTCTTTCTAATTCACTCATGCAAATATCAAATGCAAAAAAGAATACTTAAGAAAAGCCATCTACAACAAAGAAACCATGAAAAGCAAAAGAAATCCATTCCAGTGGGGTAAATAAATTGCAGGGTAAATGTTGCTTTTCTGTTCTTTCAATCCGATTCAGGGAAAGAGATGCTTCGAACATAGCTCCTTGAAGAATGAATATAGAAAGGTTCTGATGTCAACACTATGTTTAAACTTAAAATATAATATTGCTGTTAGTGCTTTTTGATTTGGATTTCATAATGGAATTAATCAAATAGTTATGAGGACAGCGATGAAGACGAGGGCTCCGTTGCAGTCACATTGCCATGGCCGTTGATTGGCCCAGGGGGTCCCAGCATGCTGACATCAGATATCATTGGAGTTCGAGTCAAGCAGTGTATAATAACGTGTGAAAGTGGGTCACATGCCAGAAAGTTGGCGCGTGCCTAACGTGATCTCACCTTTAGGCGACGTTGACAACAGTGAATTAGGATTTCGTCAACATTGGATTACTTGGATCCACCTCTACTTGTAATACGTGTCACGTTATGCCTTTATCATCAATTTATTTTTGTTAAGCGAAAAAAGATAAAAGAGTAGGGTATCCTCACGAACCACGGTTAAGGGTTATAGCCTATGGCTATACATCAATCTGGGAGTTTCTAACGTTAGATCAATAGACCAACATCGTTGTTTGCAATGCGTAGGCCTGCTTCTAATTCCCTTGGCCAGAAATAGATCTGACAACTTCGAGTGTTGCTAACATTTGTTTTCTAACATTTTGTTGACAAAGCATAAGATTCTGGGGGTAGCTTGACAATACTTAGTTGGCCTCCAATGGTGGCTGCTTTTCATCTCTTTGCATTGATTTTTGAACTTGGTCAGCTCCTGGTCTCATCAGGTATGAAGAGAAACTCTGTTAGCAATAGTCTCGTATAGACAATGTCAAGTAAAGAGTATTTTGATGGGAAGAAAAGCAAATATATTTCTGCTTGTGGTTTCATGGAGCATGGCAATCATTACGATGGCAATGCCTGTCTTGAATGGAAAAAGATAGCTAAACTGACTCGCATGCATCTAATCTTTAATTTATTTTTTTTTTAAATCTTCAACTAACACAGGAATCTCGTAACCAACTCCAGTCCGGCCCGTATTCTATTTGGGCTGAATTTAGTTATGTCAAAATCAACAGTGTGTCTGAATTGAGTAGAGAAAAAAGAAAGAAAAAAAAAAGTAAAGGAAATAAAACTTTAATTTTTTGTTTGGATAAATATTTAATTTAGAAAAAATGAAAATCAAATAATTTTTAATTTTTTTTGTAAATTTAATTTTTTTTAATACCTTAATTTGAAGGAAAAGCTAGAGAAAAAAATTAAAAAAAAATTTTTTATAAAAAAATTATTATGTTCATCTTTTTACTAATATTAAAATTTTAATAAAAAAATTTAAATAGATCACAATCATCTTATAATTTTTTTAAAATCATCTTCTTTTTCAAGTAAATTTTATATATATCTTTCAATATAAAAATTTTTTATAATTTTTTAGTGATTTGATTTTGATGAATGGTTGAATATAAATAGATATATTTTTTGAGTGTATGATATGTTAGACTAGCTCAAAATTCATCAATGCATATTTGTAAAATATATTCCTGTTTCACTTGATTAAAAACTATTGATATAATAACAATTGTAAAACCAGACAATATAGTAAATATATTATGATCCATGAATGCTCTAAATCACAGGCAATAAAAATATTATAATTAAAAAAAAATTATTATAATAAATAATTTTTTTTCTTGTTTACTCTTTATCCAAATAATGATTGTTAGAATTTATTTCATTTCTTTTTTATTATTAATTTTAATTATCCAAACAATAATTACATATATAATTTTTTTTTCTTTAAATTTTTTTTTTATTAATATTTATTCAAACATAACGTAACTGAACGTACCAATAGGTATGCTCAAATCCAGTTTCCCAAAATCAAGCACTGAGAACAAGCCTCTCAATGTCTTAAGTCTGCGGTTAATATTATTCCTTTGCGGATGTTATTGTTACAAATAATTTTCTCAATTTACAAATTGTGGCTCTGATGATCTTTTGTAAATTTTACACTACGGTTAGAGAATAGTGAATCTCCATAAGATGTGCATGAGATTTGACTAGATGGAGTTTGCCCTTAGTGTCTGTCCATCAGGGCCTTGGTTTCGTTATTTCTTTTCAGATTTTCTTTATAAGGGCTATGCCGAATAGGTTTCAAAGAAGTTCATCAATCATTTTCATGGCCTATACTGGTCAATATGGTGGTTTCTGTTTATGGCTTGATGGATAATTCACAAAATAAGCAGGAGTTTACTCATCCTATATTCTCTCTAGGCTTATTACAGCCAACTGGACTTCAGCCATTCTTATCCATGGGTTGTCATTATGTTCGTTGTTATTGTTGGTTTTCTAAGTTACACGTTTTGTTATCCTTTTGCCTGCAGTTGTTGGCATATCATCTGACTCTTCTGCGTGGTTACAATGTTGACCAAACTCAGAATCTTGCCAAGAGCGTGACAACCCAATCACAAAGATTCACTAACTTGTTCAACCATGAAAATTAACAAGAATTTGGCTGATAGCAGAGCTTACCTGCAGTGCAGCAGGAGATATCTTTGGCTGATGTTCAGGTTATGCATTGTAAATTATTATTTAGATAAATAGCGCACCCTTGGCATCACATTCAAACAGATCCAATTTGCTCCAGTGCTGTTTCAATTTTTGTGATTGATTCTTCTTCTAACTTAGCACTGGATTATTTTCCATGTCTTAACTTCTAAACTTATGTTCTCTTTTACATGTAATGTTGTCTTTGGTTGAAAATGAAATAGAGCATTTCCTTCACGGTCTCACAAGTTCCATTCCCAAGAACCAATCAAAGTCTGATAATTGCTTTTGAAAGAAAAAATTAAGAAAAATATTAAACAAGTGGTATGGCAAATGGTTATTACATGAAGTTGTAATTCTGCGATGAATCGACCATTGGAAATAAAAATTGGAAACACTCCAATGACAAACTCTTGTTCTCTGTAAATCCAAGTAAAAAATTCAACCTACTCAGATATAAAATTAAATTGACAGCAAAATAGCACCTCTACATACTTCAATCCCTGCTTCTCTGAACTCCAACCCAACGTGCATAATCTACCCACCTGTTCACAGATTATAAGCAATTCATAGAGATTTCAGTATCATCAAACGCCCAAATAGATATTTCAAGACTTAAGAGATGGGCTTGAGTATCTTACATCAGAGATCCCAAGAATGTGTTTCCTGTTCGAACAGCAAAGCAGATTGCACTCAACATAATCTTGTGTTGGTGTAGTAAGGGCTCCAGTAATCGTTGTTCAATAACTCCAGCAAGTACTTGGTACCTATTTAACAAAGTACATCCATTATCATCATAAATGGGCTCCTCCAACAACTTTCATATCTACATAATTGCTATGGATTTTATGGAACTTTTATAATAACTGTCAAACAGGGAGGTACAAACAGAATGTAAGCACTATGCGGTTATCTGCAAATAGAAAAAGTTGGGCATTTTTGCTCTTTCACTGAGTTTATGGTACGTACATTAAACGTGTAAGTTAAAACTTACCTATGATCAACTATTCATTATTTCAGTCAGCCCACTCGACCACTTATTTCAGTTGTTAACATAATACAAAAAAAATTTGATGCATTGTTTCCAGAAATCATAAAACTGATGATTACCTTAGGTTGCTAGAAACAGCCATGTATACACCATATGCAACACTCGTTGATAATATAGGCACATCCTCAGCTTCAGCAGCAAAAGTTTTATCAAAAACCTTTCGTGCATTAATCAACAGATTTGTGACACCCACACCAACCTGAAGAAGAAAGATATCAATGGGACGGAAGCAAAATGGGAATTTAGAATGTTAATTAAGCAATAATATAATCCTACCCAAGAAGCACAAAAAGAAATTAGTTTTCAAATATTGATCACAAAAGACTTCTGTTAGACATCCACTCTGGAATCTGGATGGAATGGACTATAAAACACACAAAGACCAGTCATAGCAGAAAATTTTCCTCCCAAGGATCGATAATAACAACAGAACAATTTCACATCATATTAGGCGTTAATAACTGACCAGAGATGCACCGGTTCCAACAGCGAAGAGTTTGGCCCCGTTACGCTGCATGGAGGATAATGATGCTATAAGTTTTAAAACATATAGAAATCAAATGAAATACTTACTCGAGTTGGTCCACAATAAGTTTGTACATACCACTATTGCACCTATTCTCTGTAAAAATGAATAAGATGTTCCTGCCAAAGCCACCTGCAGTGAGAATTCTGAAGATAAGATAACGGAAGCACTGATAGATAAAACTTACATGTCAAAACAATGAAGTCAATAACCTGGAAGGCATTATCAGGACAATTGTAGAAGAACTTAGAAATAGTTCCAGCACTGACTGCTATAGGTGGTCGGAGAGAAACAGTTGGAGCAGGAAGCCACACAAGCATAAAATCTGCAATTAGGGCCATTACCTAAAACAGAACAATTATATCAAAAAGATGTTCAAGGATTTAATCATGGCATTAACCTTCTATTGAAGATAAAGTTTGTCTCAACAACTAGAATAAGTTGGAGACTGGAGAGATCCAGTTTGTTTTTATTTTCAATGCAACCATACCACATCAGCAAAAACAAAATCAAGCTCTTTCATAAATCTTTCTCTGCGCTTTTCCAACTCTGCAGCTGTCTGAAAAAGTAGGCAATCAGTATATAGGTATATTGTTGAGTTTTAATTTCTTACGGCTACAATTCTGCAAACCTGGCACAGATTGCGTAAAGACTAACCTTGGTGAAAATCCCAACGCCACACTCAATGCCAACCTTAGTCAAGAACAAATCATCAGCAAGCAACCGCTCCTTAAACCCTCCAAAATTAAGCAACCACCGCAATATAGGCGACTTCTCCAACTCAAAGAACCTATAAACAATCGAACCCGGTACCCTCCCCGCCTTGATTGCCGCTGCTAAGTCTTTGGGCAAACTCTCAAACGTCCTCCCTGCCTGTATATATACACCACAATTCACACGTAAAAAGCATTCATATACATAAATAAATACGTATCTATACAAGTATAGATAGTTAACTAAATACCTCTGCGAGAGCCAGGATTGCTTCAGATCGATTGCGTGACCTGTCCTTGTCGTCACGATCGTCATGTCCTCCTCCGCCACCTCCATTACCACTGCCGCCAGTTCCTCCAGAAAAATTACCGCCATCTCCTGAGGAGAAAGCGATGGCGGGGTGGTACTTATTGCGGTTACTGGTCGAGACAGTCAAGGAAAGAAAGGGAGTGCAGCGGCTGAAACTGCTGGTGGTACCGACATGGCAGGTGGTGACGGCGAAGCTCTGCTCTCTATGTTGATGGTGGTGGTGGTGGTGGGAAGGCGATTGGAGAAAGAAGGAGCGCGTGGAGAGGTTGGAGAAGGTTGCGACGGCCATTGCAGAAAAAGGGACAGCAGGGAGTGTGTTTGTGGGAGTGGAAACAAAGATGAAAGAGAATTTTGATGTTTCCTGTGTCTCTGGCTTTACAGAGATCAAAGAGGGAAGAAAAAGAGAATGAGGAAGTGGGTTGCATTGCTTCATCAGAGGTGGAGATACAAGGATGCAACGGACAACGGTTGACTTCAACGTCTTATTCTCACTTTCACATGCTACACGCTCTCTCACGCTCCATGCCATATGGATATTATGACCGGTTTTTCATTTGCTAATTTTGGCTGCTCAAATCTCATTCCCCTTGAAAATTGAAAGTAAAAATTGTCATGTTTCCTTTTTTTTTTTTTTTTTGGGTTTTTGTTTCGGTACGCGGGTGACCCAAAGAAGGTGGGAAGATGGGGCGCGTCAGGAGTCTCAACTTGATTTAACTGATTGGTAGATAAAGCCCGCTCACCTTAAAACACAAAAACCAAACACGACCCAACCCAATCAACTATCTTCCACTGTTAGTCTGCACCAGTATACTTACTTTGATTCACCGCCTGATATTTCGTAAAAGAATTACTTGCTTAGATTCACTGCCTGCTTACTCGGCGGCAATGTAGAATGTTTATTTTATAGATAGATTTCTCATCCATATTTATTTAGTTTTGTACTCCATTTCTAACCTAACAACGAACGTTACTTAAAAAAAAAAAAAACTAACAATGAACATTTATCTGGAAAGTATTAACAAAAATATTTTACTTACAATTTTTTTTGTTACAATATCATAATTGTTCAATTATAATCAAATTTTATATAATTTTGAAATATATAATTGATTAATTATAATATAAATAATTTTAAATTATAGAATTGATTAATTGTAATATAATAATTATAAATGATATATTTTTCATATTGAGACTTATAAAGAATTAAAAAAACTTCAAAGTTAAGAAAAAATTAAAACATCAAAGACCGAAAAAATGATCCTTTATACTTGTAAAATATTACACAATTTAAAAAGAAATTGAAATATAAAAATAATAATTCTACTAAATACTTTATTTATTTCATGGTTATTTTTTAAGAATTATGTAATGGTTACTTAAATTCATTAAAAAATCATAAAAGTAAAACGTGAAGAAATATGTCACTTATAATGATAATTAAATCAAATTTTAAATTATATTCTGTCATAATATTATATGAAATTCATTTTTATAATTGATAGATTTTTATGTAATTTTTAAATGTATTAAATAATTATAAAATTATAGTAAAAAGTCGCCGTCTAAATGCTCTTAAAAGGGGAAGATAAGCCTCCGAAACGCACCGATTCTATGGTTCCTGCTTCCGTGACAGGTGTTAGTTTGACTATTTGCACATTTGGGCCGCCCTGATCCAGACTCCGTGGTTTCTATTAACCATAACTTGAAATCGATGGTAGCCTGCTATATTTTTTGTGATCCACAAGACATCGCCCAATGTGCTTGTTCCTACCGCTTCAAAGCTGGTACCTTCATTCTTCAGGGAAATATTTCATTCATTTCATTAAAAAAAAAAAAAGAAGAAATTTATTTTTTAATCTTTTAATTCTTATTTTTTTAGAGTATTAGATTCTTTTAATGATGTGACTTACCAATTAAACTATATTCACATGTTAAAACTCAATTTATTTTGCAAATAAGTTCAGAATAAAACTTTTTATTTCAAGGATGGATTAATTTAATCCAAATATTTACTTTTTTCAAATATGTGGATTTGATCGGTTTGATTTTAAAAATTCGAAAAATTGAATAAATCGACATCACTTGAAATAATTGATCAAGCTGAATTGAATTAAAATAACTAATAAAATATAATCTAAATCGACTTAGATTAGTTTGATTCATTAATTTTAACTATTTAAAAAATACAATATTTATATTATATATAAAAAATATATTTTATATTTATATTATTTATAAAATAAGGATATATTATATTATATATATTTAAATTATTATATAAATTATGTTGTATTTCATTCATTTCATAAAATTTCAAAATAAATTAATAGGATCCAATTAATTTAGTTATAATTTTTAAATACTAATTGAATAAATTGTTTTCTTTAATTTATTGAAATTAAAATTAAAATAAATGAATCAAATTAATTAAATTTGATCGATTTATATTATAATAAATTTAATACCTTTTATTATTGAATTAAAATTAAATCAATAATTAATTTGAATCAAAATAATAATTTAAATCGTAACTATTTTAATTCAATAATAAAAAAATAAAACTTAAATTAATATAAATGAATCTCTTTATTATATATATATATATATTTAAAATTTCCACACCTCTATACTTAATTATAAAAAAGAGATGAAATTGTAGATATTGCAAAACCACACAACAATATACAACTCATTGTCCATTCCTAAATATCTCTTTATTTATTCCCCATACACATAAATGAAAAAAATAAAATAAAAGGAAAAAAGGCATTTGCATTCCGTAGCAAGAGTCTATAGTCCAGAAACTTTACCGGACCTTAACAACGTCTCTTATCCCCTTGATTTCGGCATGGATGGATAGCCCATAAAACGGAAAAGGCTCTCTCACTCATTACGGACACAGCACAAACTCCTCTAACAATGGCTACTAGCACCACACCATCATCATCGCTGATGCTAACGTACGCCGCATCCACAGTACACGCTCAAGACCTCGCCCCTTCCATTCTATCCTTCAAATCCAACAGGCCTACCTTTTCTCTTTACCCACTTGTTCTAAAGACTTCTAGAGACAGAAAATCCGGCCTCAAATGGGCTAATCTATGTCCCCAGAGAGATTCCAACCAGGTTGTTGTAGCTGCCGTGGCTGCGGAGGCTGAGGTGGCTGAGGCTGCGGAGGAAAAGGAAGGAGTGGCTGAGGGTGCCACTGCTACTGCTACTACTACTGCCCCGCCTAAGCCCAAGAAGGGAAAGGCTGCGTTGCTTCTCAAGAGAGACAGAGTATGTGTATTTTAAATTTCACTTTTTCTTCTTTCTTTCCATTGCTGTTACAGTTTTTTAACTATGTTTTTGGGGTATAGTGGATCATTTTCTGTGTGGGTTTTGCTTAGCTTAGAGAAAACAGTATTTCGTACTGTTGTTTGAAAGTTTTGATTTTTGAGGGTGAGTTTGTTATTGCCTATGTTGTTTCTAGGACTTCTGTATAGTGTATTTGAATTTTTTTTTTTTAAGTTTATGATTGGATAAATGGTTTTTCACTTGAATTGAGTTTAATTTTTTAGTTTACAATTTTGGTTTAAGAAACTATTGTCTATCAGAAATGGTTTGTGTCTTTCACTTGTACATTGTTTTGTTAAATATGCGGCCATTAGATATGGTAGTGATTTTTACTTAGCTTCAGCTATTTAATTCCTTTTTATTCTTTGTCCTGCTCAATCTGCAGATGAGGTCTAAGCGATTCTTGGAAATTCAAAAACTAAGGGAAAACAAAAAGGAGTATGATCTAAAGACAGCGATATCTTTTTTAAAGGATATGGCAAGTACAAAGTTTGTAGAGACAGCTGAAGCCCATTTCCGCCTTAATATTGATCCTAAGTATAACGATCAACAGCTGAGAGCAACAGTAAGTTATCCGGGCTTCATGTGATAATAGTCATGGCGTCAATGACCTTTGATGTTACACTTGATATCCTATGTTTCTTCTGACCCTTCTTCTTACAGGTGAATTTGCCCAAGGGAACTGGGCAAACTGTTAAAGTGGCTGTTCTTACTCAAGGTAGTTGCTGTGCTTTGATGCATGCTAATCTATTTGTTCTTACTTGTTTTCATTTGGTTTTTACTGGAATTTTTTTCTGCATCTATAAATTCTATCTTAAATTAAGAGATCATTGGACAGAAGAAACATAACTGATAATCTGCAGTTCTTGTGAGAGATTGAGTAGGTTCTTAACTACTAAGTTTAAAATTTTGATAGTGGCAAGTAATCATGCTAAAATGATGTACTTTAGGCAGGTGGTATTTGAAGATCTTAATTGGAATTCCTATAAGGATAAGTTTTCTTTTCATAGGCTTATCAACATAATTATCAATTCCTTTTCTGGTTTGACTGTCTTCTAAATATGATGTCTTTACAGGTGAAAAGTTTGATGAAGCAAAAAATGCTGGAGCAGATATTGTCGGTGGTGAGGACTTGATTGAACAAATAAAAGGAGGATTCATGGAATTTGACAAATTAATTGCTTCCCCAGATATGATGGTTAAGGTGCTGCTTTGCTGATCTTACTTCAATTAATGAGATATGTTGATTGTTTCCTTACTCTGTTAACCAGATTCCAGTTGTCAGCAATATCATTTCTTTCATGTTCTCTCCTTTTTGTTCAAAATCACAGCAATATTATCACTATGGATTTTGTTTTAACATCTTCCTACTTCTGATTAGGTTGCAAGCCTTGGAAAGATTCTAGGACCCCGTGGACTCATGCCAAATCCGAAAGCTGGTACTGTTACACTCAATATACCTCAGGTAGGATCTGATTGCTACGTTTCAATGGGTTTGTATTTCAAGTTCTGAATTTTAGGTCAGTGTCTGTTGATTGTCTTGTTCATCTTCACGCCCATAAGAATCTTATGTTTGCAAATTTGTGCTTGTGCACGCATGCTATGCTTGTACATATATATACACATAAGAGATGCTTGTCTATGGATTGTAAATTGGTACTCACTGATATTCCTGTGGATTATTTTGTATACCTTTCTTTACATGAAACATGTTTGAGCACAGGCATTTGTTCTTGTGCATTGTTATCAGTATGGCCCTTTGATGCAGCAAGAATCACAAAATGAGTGTGAAATTGATACAATCGGTATTAGCGAAGGGTTGTTCTTAAAAATAGAGAACTGGCAAATGGGAAAGTAAAAGCGTCCCAATTTGTGTATTTGGGCAGTTATTACTCATGTATGTCTTTCTGACTGACATAATAATAAGACCAATGGGGTATGGACATGATGAGGATAAGTGTATAACTACCACATTCAATAATATGCTTGAGGGTCATTTTACTTTTTGAATGATACATGCTAGCTAGCAATCGTTAATATAGCTAAAATGCTTATTGAATCATCTTTTTCAGGCTATAGAAGAATTCAAAAAGGGAAAAGTTGAATACAGAGCTGATAAAACTGGAATTGTTCACATACCTTTTGGGAAGGTTGACTTCTCCGAAAACGACCTCCTTGTGAACTTCCTTGCTGCAGTAGTATGTCACACCCTAT